AATCATACAATACCTGGTTTTTTGTGATCAGCTTCTTTTGCTTAGCATAATGTTCAAGATATCAGGGTTCATCTATGTTGTAGCATGCATCAGAACTTCATTTCTGTTTTTTTCTGAGTATGTGTGTATGCATGTATATAATTTTTTTCTTCTTGGTGCTTTTAAAAAGAATCTAAAATTTCTTTTGTTTCCAGCTTTATTGAGGCACAATTTAAAAATAAAGATTGTACATATTTAAGGTGTACAACGTGATCATTTGATATACCTATACATTGTGAAGTGATGACTACAATCAGGCTAATTAACGCATCCATCACTTCACACAGTTACCTTTTTGTGTGTGTGGTGAGAACACTTAAGATCTACTCTCTCAGCAAATTTCAAGTATACACACAATGCTTATTGTTAACTATAGTGCACACCATGGTGTACATTAGATCTTTAGAACTTGTTCATCTTTTTTTTTTTAATTTATTTTTTTTATTGTTCGTTTCAGGTGTACAGAACAATACAATAGTTACCCTTTTCACCCTCACCAGGTAACAACCCCCCTCCCTCCTTCAACTTGTTTATCTTATAACTGAAATAGTCAACAGCTACATGAAAAGGTGCTCAATATCACTAATCAACAGGGAAATGCAAATCACAATCACAATGATATATCGTCTCACACCTGTTAGAATGGCTATTATCGAAAAGATAAGCAAGAACAAGTGTTGGTGAGGATGTGGAGAAAAAGGAACCCTGGTGCACTGTTAGTGAGAATGTAAATTGGTGCAGACACTATGGAAAACAAATGAAAATTCTTAAAAAAACTAAAATTAGAATATCATATGATCCAGTAATCCCACTTCTGGGTATATATCCAAAGGAAATGAAATCAGGATCTCAAAAAGATATCTGCACTCCCGTATTTACTGCAGTATTATTCACAATATCCAAGACATGGAAACAACCTAAGTGTCCATCAACAGTTGTGGTGTGCTAAAAAATGTGAATGTTTAAATTAAAAAAAAATTTATTACAGTAAAACACACATTGCCATTAATCCCTCTCAAAATACTCCCCCTTGCTTCGAACACACTTATCCAATAATTCTAGCAACTTTCTTAAGCAGTTCTGGAAAGCCCTCTTTTGTGAGTATCTATAGTTGCCCTGTCATGGCTGCCTCGATGTCCTGAATCATTTTGACTTTGGGAAAGAACCAGAAGTCGCACGGTGCCAGATCCGGTGAATAAGGTAGATGAGGACACACTGTAATGTTTTTATTTGACAGAAATTGCCATACCAGGAGCAATATGTGACACAGCACACTTTAAAATACATCTTCTCTCACCCATAGCTCACATCCGACTGACTGCACTGAACAATTTGAAACTTGTCACACACTGTTACTATGGTTTGACGTGCCACTTCCTATATTGAAGATCCCTGCCTTTCCGTTGGATGGCACTTGGCAGCAGCATTCACTGTATTTTGTGATCACAACGAAAAGGCTTCATGTCATACATGGCTTCTGGTATGGCAATTTCTGTCCAATAAAATCATTACAATGTGTCCTCATACACCTTATTCACTAGATCTGGCTCTATGCAACTTCTGACTCCTCTCCAAAGTCAAAAGGACCATAAAAGGTAAATATTTTAAATTAATTCAGGACATGGAGGCAGCCATGACAGTGCAACTAAAGACACTCACGAGAGAGGACTTCCAGAACTGCTTCAGAAAGTGGCAAGAACAACACACACACACACACACACACACACACACACACACACACACACATATATAAAATCTCCCAATAAAATATTATTCAGCCATAAAAAGAGGGAGAACCTGCCATTGCAACAACATGTATGAACCTGAAGGGCATTATGCTAGGTGAAATAAACCAGATACAGAAAAACAAATACCTTTTACATGTGGAATCTAAAAAAGTCAAACTCATAGAAGCAGAGTGGAATTGTGGCTGCCAGTGGCTGGGGAGGTGGGGAAAATGGGGAGATGCTAGCCAAAGAATAAACAGCTCTAAAATGTGTGTGGTACCTGAATGTGTTAAGTATTTGCTAATATTATGAAGCAATTTTTTCCCCTTCCTTGTGGGTGAGTGGGCCTCAATTTTAAGTCTTAGACCTCATAGTAGAAACTCTGCCTGTACTTATTTCTGTGATTATTTCAGGAGCAGCTCTCACCCAGAGTCTCCAATGGTTAAGCAGGACTTTCCCATTTAGTCAACATTAGAGGTGGTTTACCACTGAGAGGAAGAGAGTGAAGAATTCAAGACCAGCCAGCACTTGGCTCCTGAAGGAGAGTTGCTGGAAGGTTTTGACAGAGCACTTGGTCGTGAGACTGTGTTGGGTGATACGGACTCTAGTGCAATAGATCCACACTCACACTTAACTTTGGGAAACAGTTCATTGCTGTCTTAGTTGTGGCTTATAACAAAAATACCATAGACTGGGTGAATTAAACAACAGAAACTATTTCTCACATTTTTGGAGGTTAGAAAGTCTGAGATCAGAGTGCCAGCATGGTCAGGTTCCAGTGAGGGCCCTCTTCCTGGTTTGCAGATGGCCACCTTTTTATTTTTATTTACTTTTACTTTTTGTTTTTGTTTTTTTCTTTTTTTCTTGGGATGGCCACCTTTTTGCTGTGTCTTCACATGGTAGAGAGAGGAGCTCTAGTCTCTTTCTCTTATAAGAACACTATTTCCATAATGATGGCACTACCCTCATAACTTCATTTAAACCTAATTATTGTACTAAAGGGCCTACCTCCTAATACCATGCCATTGGGGGTCATGATTTCAGTATAATAATGGGGGGAGGGGACACAAACATGCAATCCATAACAGTTATTTGTCAACTGTCTTTTTTATTGTGATTATTTGATATACCAGTCTGTCTTCCTACCAGGCATTGAGCTGCTTGAGGGATGGGATAGGGGTGGGGATACCTTGAATCCACTGCTCCTAGCACATTCGAAGTTTGTTGAAAAAGAAGAGCAAATCAGCAAGTCTGGACTTCCTTTTATGAAAATCTATTCATTAGTAGAAACTTTTCAAGTTGTCCCAGAAAACTGCTTTTGTTCAAACACTGCACACACTTAACAATAAACTAGACGGAATTTATTTATTTATTTTTAAAGATTTTATTGGGGAATTGGGGAAGGGGAACAGCCAAGTTGTTGTCCTTCAATCTTAGTTGTGGAGGGCGCAGCCAGCTCAGCTCCCAAGTCCAGCCACCATCCGCCACTTGTTGGCAGCTCACGGCTGCTCAGCTCAAGGCTGCTCAGCTCAAGGTGCCATGTTCAATCTTAGTTGCTGGTGGGCATAGCCCACCATCCCATGCGGGAGTCGAACTGGAAACCTTGTTGCTAATAGCGCACGCTCTAACCACTGAGCCATCTGTCCACCTGACGGCAGCTCAGGGCAGCTCAGGCGCAGCTCACTGGCCCATGTGGGAATCGAACCGGCGACCCTGTTGCTCAGAGCTTGTGCTCTTAACCAACTGAGCCACTCGGCCAGCTCGGAAATTATTTTAATGGGAAAAAAAGTTAGTTTCAATGTTTGATGGTATGAAGTCATCCTCTCACAGCCCAGTAATTTACGAGACAATAATCACACAAAACATCCTACTTAGGTTTGTAAATATTTAAACAGATAATCCATGTTTTAATTTCACACAGTTAACACATAAAGGAGTTTTAAAAAGTAGAATAACAAAACATTTCAAGAAGACAAGTTGAAAAATTAGTCATGATAGAATGAAAGACCATCTAACTCTCTGGGGTACATTCTAAGGATATGTAGCTCTGTTGAAGGCTGACTTGGAAAAAAAATACCTGGAGTTTACTACAAGTAAAAAGCAGTCTAATATATATATATTTTTCTTTAGAGAAATATGCAAATATGCCCTGAATTAAATTGCTTCTAACTTCAAGGGCAGGAACCTTGAAGGTTCAGGGCAGGAACCCCGTTTTCCAAGTCAATGGTGCATACCTCCTACTAATAAAAATGCTGCGGACAAAATGACATTTGAAAAAGGTATTTAATATTTTTTTATTATTTAAATTTTTATTTTACATTTCTTAAGAGCAATATCACGTCATGCCATTTATGTTCGCATAACAGAGGCTGGAATAGCAAAACACTAACAGAGATGAATGTCGAAGAAGCCCTTTGAAGAGATTAACCAAAACTGAGCCCAAATCAATTATCTTCCAGAGCTGTTTCCATAGAAAGAAGTTTGTTCTCTGTGAATTCTAGTGGGAAAGAATAACTTGATAATACCTCTTCATTAGAAAGCCAAACGTCTTTCTACGCCTTGTACGTACCTTCCGCTATTCTCCAATCACTCCTTCATTCTATCATTTATGTTCCTAAGGACGTGGGTGTAAAAGTGACCTCTTAAGGATTACATCGGCAACAAGGTAACCAGCTCTCTTCATATCAGGAGGTAGGGAGGTGTGGCTGCCCAGTTATCAAGCTCTATAGCTATAAGACTTTTTGATTTTAAGAAAAATCAGACATTGAGCAGCACCCCACAGCGTCAAGATGAAAGCAGGTGACCGCGTCTCTGTTTAACTAGCAAAACTCCATCTCCTGGTGGCATTTCCTCCGCAAAAAAAGACAATGGGGGCTGCGTTTGGTGAAGGTGGCATTGAGCAGAGCATCTGAGTCAACAAGGTACCCCAGTAGGAATCCCGACACCCCCTCTCTGCCCCTCCCACCCCCAGACGCCCCCAATCGCTGGAGGAGGGGGATAAAATGAGGTGGCTCAGGCATCCCTCCCCCCCTCAAGGCGCAGGGGCCACCTTTGGGCCAGGGTTCTTTAGAATCTGAATTGGGAGAATTTTAACCCCGCCGCTCGCAGGGTAGGGAGTAGATCCCTCCTGTCCCTCAGTCCTGGGCCTCATTCGGTACTCGGCTCTCGACTGCTCGTGTCTGGCAGCAGCGGGCGACACTCGCGGAGACTGAGGCTCTGCACTCGAGCTGTCAGGCCTGGCTCGCACAGGCAGCCACGCGCGCTAAGCTGTTGCCCTGGGGCCTCGCGCTAGTAGGAGGGGGTGGCCGGGGCGGCCCGCGCGGGGATGTCGAGGAGCTCGAAGGTGGTGCTGGGCCTCTCGGTGGTGCTGACGGTGGCCACCGTGGCGGGCGTGCATTTAAAGCAGAAGCAGGATCAGCAGGTCGGTGTCATGTGACCATTTCTTCCGGGGTCCCCGCGGCGGCGGCCTGTGCCTCTCCGGTCACCGCACGGTTCCCCTCTCCTGTTCTTCCCTCCTGTCCTCAGCGGCGGCGCGGCCGGGCGCCTCCATGGTTTAGCTATTGCAGCCCGGCCACCGCTGGCCCGGCCCTGTGTTCTGCAGCCCCAGCGGCCGCCTGCGTCCTCGAGACCCAGGCCAATTCCTCCTGGCCCGCACCGGGCAGCCCTGCCCTCCGCGCTGAAGTTGCCTGGCTTCCTCAAACGCACGCCCTTTGCAGGTGGTCAGCGGTTCCGTTTTCAAGTCACAGACAGCCTGCCGTGATAGAACCTTTCAGCATCTCACTGGGGCCCCTAGAAAACACAAGAGGGGAACGGGTTTCCTTGGGGTGCATTCAGCAGGTTAACGGCCTCTCTTCACTCCCTAGGCCCAAAACTGGGTCTTAACTTTTTATGCTATTAGTATTTATGTTTAAATGCTAATAAGGTTTTATCCCATGACGAAGAAGGCATCCTTGCACCCGCCTTCGTGTCTTAGGCAAAGGTAATTTGGTGAGATGCTTGTTTTTTTGTTCTTTTAAGGAGCAATTTGCTATGGAAACTATATTCTGGGAACGATAGCCATACTAGCCTCCAACTTTTCTCCTTTTGGTACTTTTATTTCTGGAAATATCTGTGACTTACTGATCAGTGGACTGACCGTCCGTTCTGCCTCTCTCAGTGCATATATTCTTATTCAAGTTGGCAAATGTTTAATGATGATCACTGTGTGCCAGGCACCACACTAGGCACTTTTGGGAAACAAAGATAAGGAAGCACAGCTGCTCCTGAGATTATAAATGATTCAAAACACTCAACTGAATGTTGAGTGTGAGGATGGGAACTAGGTTGTTGGTGAACTCGCAGAGAATACCTTGGCACAGTTATTGGTTGAATCTAGTTTGCCAAGGGTGAAAGTAATGAACTGGATGAATCAATATTAAACTCATTTCTTGCATTGGACTCTGCTGTGTTCTCAATATACAGAGATGAAGCAGATGACTGGTCTTTGACCTTGGTATTCACAGCCCACGGAAATCGGAGGAGAGGAAGCCAGTGATGATACAAGAATTTAGGGGAGGAAGGCATGGGATGGCTAATAATGAAAGGGCATGGAAGAGATTACAGATTTGGTATTAAACTATGGGTTCTAACTGGGTAGCTTTTGGAATAGAGGCAAGAGCCTTCCTCTTCTAAGAAGGAAAAGATGGTGATCCTGAGAAAATTTGAGGTGGAGTAGAGGATGGTATATCAGATGTAGCTCCGTCAGTGAACAGGGATTTTCAGAGTGTCGGGTAGGGCTGAAGAGTAGTTCAGAACCCTAGTTACACATATGATGTTCCTGGGAAGTTTTTACAACACAACTGAGGCTGGGCCCTAATCCAGACCTTTTAGATCAGAATCTCTTGGGGATGGGAATCTATCTTAAGTGTTTCGAAAGCAACCCTGGGGATTCTAACACGCAGCCAGGATTGAGAACCACTGTTAGAGAGTGGAAGAACAGGAAGATTTAGATATTTTGAAGTTAGAGATGAAGAAAAGATTGATTATAATAACCTGTGTTTATCTTATATCCAGGCATTCATTGTGGGCTTACTTTCTAGCAGTGGGAAAGAGATGGCTAAATGAGCGACATAGTGGGTGTGTCAGAAGGTTCAAGGAAGGAAGAAATAAAATAATAACTATTGTTATTGTTTCTTGACTGTCTACCGCATAGCAGGCACTGGACTAAGTACTTTAAGTACATCATCTTTAATCCTCATAGGAACTCAGCAAAACAAGTGGTACTTACATGAGGAGCCAGAGTTAGAATTGGAATAGTGAAGCGGGCTTAGTGGTTAGTAAGTTAGTTAAGTGGAAATTACAGGAAGGATGTGGGAGGCAATCAGCATAGACATTGAAACTTGGAGAAAGATAGCAAATAATGGATGGAGAACAAGATCCTAAGCATGTGCTCGTGTCTCTGAAAAGGCAGGGTAGGATCTCAGAGGCAGGTGCTGAATGAATCCAGTGTCCAGTGTGGGCTTTGAGGGGTGAGGTGGATGTGTTACGCCATGGTGTCAGGAGCACAGGCAGGAAGAGCTGGGGAGGGGGAGTGGAATGAGCACCTCCATTTCTGTCCCGAGATATTGCCAAGAGTGCAGGGATCAAGAAAGTTGGCTTTTAGCTGAATTATCAGCCCCAGGAGTTAAATTTCTCTACTCCCCTGTAATAGGGAATGAAGCGTTAGGCCTGGAGGAGGTCTAGCAAGTAGGCACTTAGTTACTTTTAAATAGACATAATAATTAAAAAAAAACAAACAAACATATCTAGGCCCTGGGCCCTAGCCCCATTAATTCTACCACACAAGGCTACTGTTAAAAGCTTGTTAGAGGAGACAACCTAGATGGCGCAGTAGGTAAACACTGTGTTTACATTTTCTCACAACCACATCAAAATTACAACTAACCTACAAAACAACCATTATTGAGAATCTCCTAAAATCAAGCTGAACTGAATCCCTTCAACTAAGGATGCTCAGAAGAAGCCACCTGCACACTGGTAGGAAGGGCAGAGACGGGGAATGGGTTGGTCCCACACCTACACATGTGACCATTAAAGATCTGGAGGGCTATTTCGGCCTCCACCCATCTCCTAGAGGAGCGAGATAGCTCAACCCCACCCCAGCCCAGGGTTCCAGTGCTGGGGAGAGAAGTTCCCATAATTTTTGTTGTGAAAACCCGTGGAGATGGTGACTGAGTGAGACTGAGGGCAGCTGCACTCATAGGCGCTCCTCTTAAAGGGGCCGTGCATGGACTCACCCAACAACAGAATCACTCGCTCTGAGCCCCAGAGCTGGGGCAGCAACTGACAGTCAGCAGGGACATCTGGTGGGGAAGTGAGTTGTCTGGCTTGGGATGGGGGCTGGAGAGGCCACTTTCTCCTGGACGGGGGAGCTGGCAGAGGCCATTGTTGCTTTGCTGAGACCTCCCCTTTCCTGGTGTGCGAATATAGGCAGCCACTATATCTGAGTCTCCACTATTTGTTGATTCGTTCACCACTCCCTGGTGATTTGAGATCTGGCCCTGCCCAACTTTCCAGTCACACCCAGGCTGCTTTCAGTGGCTTCTTAGTGTAGACTCTGCTTTGGCTCAAGCTGCAGACTTTCCTAGGGTCTCCCAAAGGTTCGTGGAACCCAGACAAGCAGCATCTGGCTTGAGTGTGTCCTGTACCTCTGGCTCAGGAGCCCTAAGTGTGGCACTAGCGGTAGCTGGCTTTGGTTCACGGCTTGGCCTCTCAAGGCGCTACCAAGCACAGCATGGGCGGCAGCCATCTGCGGATTTCTTTCGGGCTCCTGCTAGATGGCCCCAGGTGGTGCACGAGCTACAGCTGAAGTAGACCTACAGCGGATTGCCTCCAAGGTGGTCCTGGGGCTGGTGCCCCCAGCGGCCAGCTTCAAAATGAGGTGGAGCATCACCCAGCTGCCTCCAAGTACGACACACCCAAGAGGCAGATTGGGCAGACACCAGAGTCCTGCTGAGGCAGATCCTGCTCTGTAGGGTCAGCAGCCCCTGTACAACAACTCTTCCACTGTAGTCAAGGCCAGTCCTCACAGTGGGAGAGCCCAAGGGCCAGTCCCACCCATTGATGTGCAATTATCAACCAAGAGGAGGGCGCACACAACCCACACAAGGGACGCACCTGGAGCACGTGGCTCAGGTGATCAGAAAGGCTGCACCACTGAACCCCACAGCACATCTACTACATAAGGCCACTCTACTAAGACCAGGAGACATAGCAGCCCTACCTAATACATACAAACAAACACAGGGAGGCAGCCAAAATGGGAAGACAAAGAAACATGTCCCAAATAAAAGAACAGAATAAAGCTCCAGAAAGAGAACTGAGCAAAACCGAGATAAGCACTCTATCAGACACAGAGTTCCAAGCACTTGTTTTAAGAATGGTTAATGATCTCAGGAAGAACTTCAACAGATAGATGGAAACCATGAAAAAGAACCCGTCAGAAGTAAAGGATACAATAATGGAAATGAATATATTACAGGGAATCAGCAGTAGATTAGATGAAGCAGAGGATCCAACCAGCGATGTAGAAGATAAGATAGTAGAAAAGACCCAAACAGAACAGGAAACAGAAAAAAGAATCCCCAAAATTGAGGACAGTTTAAGGGGCTTCTGAGACAATATCGAGCGTACCAACATTCGCATTATAGGGATACCAGAAGGAGAAGAGAGAGAGCAAGGAATTGAAAACCTATTTGAAAAAATAATGACAGAAAACTTCCCTAACCTGGTGAAAGAAATAGACATACAAGCCCAGGAAGTGCAGAGAGTCCCAAACAAGATAAACCGAAAGAGGCCAACACCAAGACACATGATAATTAAAATGCCCAAGGTTAAAGACAATCTTAAAAGCAGCAAGAGAAAAGCAGTTATCTACAAGGGAGCTTCCATAAGACTTAGCTGATTTCTGAACAGAAACTTTGCAAGCAAGACAGGAGTGGCAGGAAATATTCCAAGTAATGAAAAGCAACAATATACAACTAAGAT